ATTGATTTTATAAATTCAACCTTTGACAATTATATTATTGATGGTTTATCTAACAGTTAGCCATTTTGTCCAACATTCTGCGTGGACGCCAAATTAAAAGATACCGATTTGCATCACATCAAGTTTGATTTGTTCACCGATGTTTGTCAGAGTGATACCTGTAGCAGCTGCACTAGACTGATATGCAACAAGATATATGTGAGCTTTCATTGCAACATTTACATTTAGAACAGTTACAATTTTACTTAGTCTGATAGAAAATTATATAATTGAAGTATATTTCTTTGAGTTTATTCAATTCGAACATTACTTTTAAATTTACAGATACCTATGTTTTGAAACATTAGCAGCAATTTTATTTTCAAACGGTCAGTTTTCAACTTTGAATGTTTCATTTTTGTTCATAAAAAGTGTATTCTACAAAAGTCAAGGTCATTTCAAGGTACAATGTCAATATTTAGGTAGTTGGCTTTTTAAGACACCTGGCCGTTGATTTGACCCTCCACAACCAATGATTAGGTGACCTGAAGTCAAGGTCTGAATGGATCAAGGAAATTTCAAGTTCAAAGGTCAATATCTAGCAAGTTGACGTGAGAACAATTGTGACCTTTGGCGACCAATAATAAGGTGATTTCAAGGTAGTTTCAAGGTCAAAGGTCAAATATCTAGGTCATAGGTAGTTGGCTACTTTGGGTCTTCAGTAACATTTGATCACCAAAGATAAAGTAACCTCCGGTCAATGTCACTGTCTATGGGTCAAGGTCATCTCACGGTCAGAGGTCAGTATCTGAATATTTGGCATTTTGGGGATGCTGCTTCATGTGAGGACCCATTGGTATGTGTTCTGAGGTCAAGGTCATTCCTACAAGGTCATAATCTCTGTATTTGGCATTTTTAGGCCCTGGGGGCTGCTATAACCCTTGGCAACTCAAGCTAAGGTGACATGAGGTCAAAGTCAATATCTATGGTTCAAAATTATAGTAAGGTCAAAGGTCAATATCTAGGTAGTTGGCTCGTTTGTGGCTACACTGACATTTGATCACCAATGATAAAGTGACCTGAGATCAGTGTCATTTTTATAGGTCAAGGCCAGAAATCAATATCTAAATATTTGGCGTTTTGGAGTGGCTGCTGCACTTGGCTCCATTGAAACGTAACCTGAGGTCAAGGTCAATCTAAGGTCAAATTTCAATATCTTAGTGTTTGGCGTTTTAAAGCCACATGGGCTGCTGTCGTGATGTGGCCCTTGGCGACTCATGATAAGGTGACATGAGGTCAGTCATCATTTAATGGTCCAATTCAAGATCATCTCAAGGTCGAGGTCAATATCTAGGTATTGATGTTTCAAGGCATTTGGGAGATGCTGTGACGCTTGGTGACCCATTACTAGGCGACTTGGGATCAAAGTCATTACTGACGGGTCATGTCAATTCAAGGTCAAAAGTCAATATCTAGGTATTAAGCCTTTTAAGGCCTCTGGGCTAGTTCATGTCATGCATCAGAAAAGGTCAAAAGTCAATAGCCAGGTATTTGGAATTATTTTTAAGGCCATGTGGGGCTGCTGTGACCGACTCGAACAGTAGATTGCTAGTATTATAAAGATACACAAGAATATGGCGGGAGGGTGGCAAAATCGTCTATTTACTTTAATATGCAAATATGGCACTCTGTAAGGACCAGAGGGTTCCTTCGGGGAGTTGCGTGGTAATGCTCAGTGTGGGAACCAAACCTAGTACCTTCTAATCTAGATTCTGATGCTCTACCGCCTTAACTAGCAGCCACGCTACAATTATGGTACAAATTTGGTACTTCTAACTATATAATGCTTTATTATTCAAAAGTCAATTATATTATTCTTATTTTGACTATCAAATGATTTTCATATATCTGAATAACCATTATATTAGTTTTTGGCAAAGTAAATAATAGTAGGGATCACACAAGGATCAACTGTATTGAAGATTGGTCATACTGGTATATGCCCTGCCGCTCTAAGATCAAGAGCAATGAATTGTCATTTTTCAGTTGAAACAACGAAACAAACACAAAATCATTATTTTGTTGAACATTTAACAAATAATTTTCTGTTAAACGTAGTAATTTTTCAAAACATCACTAAATATGAAAAAGTTGTAAATAAAGTGGATCCTTGTGTGAGCCCCATTATTATTTACGTTGCCAAAAATGAATATAATGGTAAGTGTAATATATAGAAAATATTAAATAGGTAAAATAGGAATATAATTAATAGCAACCGTGACTTTTGCATTAAAATGGCATTTTAAGGTCAGAAATGTATAATTATTCAATGTTATTGTTTTTAATAAAAATGACCACACCCAAATGGACTATCATACATATCAATATCAAATTTGCCTCCTATTTCATATACTCGCTGCTATTATTTGAAAAAAAGATTTTTGTCAAACTCATCTTTTTGACGGTTGCACCTTGGGGCAAGCCGTTTAGCCCTTTCGTGTCACTTTTTTGAGTGCAGACAAGTAAAAATGAATAGTCAATGAACCAATCTATATTGACTATGGGTCAAATCATAGTAACCTACCTTAACATCAGTTAATGGGATTTTCTGGAGTTTTGGCGCACACTAATATACATATCAGGGGCGGTTCTTGGAACCAACAAGGCGGGGGTCAAAGTTCTGGTCTGAGAAAAAAACTTCCGCGCTTGCGCAGAATTTTTTTGGGCCCCTCTATAACCAAAAAGTGGGCCCAAATTTTGAAATTTTGAGGCCCATTTTCTTCAAAATTTGGCCTAAAATTAAAAAATAAAGCCTTAATAGGCCCATTAATGACCAAAAGGCTTACTTTAAGGGGCCTCAAGGCCTATTTTGGCTCAAAATATTTATTGGGCCCAATTTTTTCTGTCTTTGAGCAATTGGTATCAAACATAAAATCTAGTGGAATGAATTTACATGGTATATACATGCGCACGTAATATGCACTATAGTGATGGTGAAGTGGAACACCTCTGTCACACGAACACTTTCTAGAGTCCCAAGACCAATTGACTTAATGTTAAATGAATCTCTTCAAGTAGAACACCTCTCAATTTGGAACACTTTTCGAGGTTCCAAAGGTGATCCACTTAGTCAGGTTTTACTGTACTCGATTTACATGAGTTCGTGATACATACACTATATGTGGACTTGGAATGTAACAGACTTAGTATCTGGATTCAAGATTTTTTGTAGGTATATATTTATCTCTGTACTTTTAGTCCATGCTATATTTTAAATTATCTACCAATTGCAAAAATATGTTATATTTTAAAAGTATGTTTTTCATGTTTTACAATATATACATATATAATAATATTTAAAAGTCGTGGTCTTAATATTTACAATTTTAGAACGGTGTGTATATAGGAATAAACTATTTACTATTTTAAATATTAAACCTAGGTTAGTAATTTATTACTGGTAATATAAAACAATATTTCAGATTGCATAAAATCAATGCATTCCTGTAACTTCTTGATAAACCCTCGTATTGAAGTCGTTCTATAAATGTACAATAAATGAATTCAAACAACAGTGATTGATCGATGAGCACTGTGTCAAGTTCAAAAATTCACGACGGTTACTTAGAAACTAGGTTGTATAAAGTTTAATCTCTAAAGATGAGACCTACTTTAAAACAACCATTGACTATAAATGTCCTGTTTTCATACATTATATCTATTTTTAGATGTTATAAAATACAACATTTACAATATATATTAAATGATTCGAGCCAAGTTATCTCGAGCCTCTTGTTTGCATTTTAAAATGAAAGCATTAGTCTGGGGTTTACGGCTAATATACAAAAATCAACCGCAATAACCCACCAACAATTCATCGAGTCGTGTGTTTTTTAATTCTTTAGAAACATAGCAAAACATTTTTAACAATATTATTAAAAGGAATTAGCCAGAATCATTTTTTGCAAGGGCAGTAGTTTTGGGAGTACCGCGAGGCTATGTTGAAAAGGGCATCCCATTATTCCACAAATACAAACTCTATCACATATATAAGCATCAATGAATGACAAAAAATATGTGCGTATGATACAGTAATTGCTATCCATTATGAGTAAAAGCGACACTATGCTATTTTTTCAAAAATACAACTCATTCCAAATAATACATTTTAGAAACGTTAGTTTTTAGATTAATTTCATGGGAATATATTTTGTGGAATTCTTTAATTAGCATATTGCGTTTCAAGTCATACTAAGATAATTCACATCTATATAAACTGTATAAAGTATTTCATACACGTTTCATACACTCCTCTTCAAAAGTTTGGAAACAGGAAATTTTCATTGTAAAGTGCACCAAAGTATGTCTCTGTGTGAATCTTAAGTTTTGTTCTTTAGTTGCAATAGTTCGGAAATTAATGACTTTGTTGAATTCTTTTAAATCACCACACATAAACAAGCTTTAATAAATTGTCCAAATAAAAAGGAGACTTCCGTTTGCCAAACTTATTGAGAGGAGTGTACCTTCACACAATGAATAAGTTATAAGTTACACTCCCCTCTATAAGTTTGACAACCAGATAATCTCATTCGAATTGTTTATCAGTCTTTTCTGTTTGTTGATTCACAAAAGTTCAACAAATATTTAATTTTTTACTGTTGTAACTCAGGAACAAAATAAAAATTCAAATAATGCCAGGCTTTGATACACTAGTATGCTATCCAGTGAAAACTTGCAGTTGCCAAATTGGGGGGGGGGGGGCGAGGGGGGTGTAAGTGTGTGTGTCTTCCAAACAGGTCCAGACTTTTCCTCGAATCGATTCATACAATCTGGGTCTGTATTGAAAACAGACGGCTTCCACTTCAAAATTACCCTTTACTTCAGACACATTGTTTTCTAGTTTTTAAAAACAATGGATTTGATTGAATCCATTGGATTTAATTGAGAATACTGTGTAAAACATGGCTACGTGTTGTAGCGCATGCGCATAAACAAAAGTTCAACTCCAAGGAGGATTGGCTTCCAGGGTTCCATCTCGATATTCTACCATATATGGAAATATTTTGTGTTTACAAAATTCAAAATCAAATATTTTTTCACCTTTTTCACTTCAAAATTTGAATGGCGAGTTTTGGTCTTATTTCCAAACAAACAATTCAAAACACACCAGAAGTGATCAAGATATTAGTTCAAATCTTTTTGATTGCTGATTATGGATTTATCGTCAGTCATAATGTCAGAAAATAACGACATCGAGAACATTTTAAATGTTGATGTTGATCAAGGTCAAGGTCAAGGTCAAGGTCGTATATCGAGTTGCGTCTCTGGGAGCCAATCCTTCTTGGTAAGACATACATTGGAAATGGCACGGACGCCAAACTACTCGTTAATAAACTGGAAGAAGGTGATACACGTGGCACTGAGCAGCACGGGTGGGTTTCTTACAATACAAACTGAAAGACTGTGGCACATAAAGCAACAAGCGACAAAGCGAGGGAACTTGCTGAGCCAGATGGCTGTTCTGTTGTAGTAGTAGTCGTAGGGTAATTACTGTCAGAAGTTGTAACAGTACGGGCATTTAGATTCTGAACGGGTCTGAAGTTATCGAGGATCCTTTCCCCTGTATGTGAGATAATTTGCCTGAACTTATTCATCTGGAATTAAAAATAGTTTAAAAAATGATTAGCATGAACTCGTTTATCTGGAATCAAAAATAGTTTTTAGAGATAATGAGCATGAATTTCTTCATTAAAATTAGTTTCAAGAAATAATAAGCATGAACTTGTTCTTCTGGACATCAAAATTAGACATCAAAATTCGGTATAAGCCTCGACTTTAAAGCTAGCTAAAATAATAAAACAAATAGAAGACATTCACCTGTGTGTTGGAGATGGGAATAGTACTCTCGAAGACTGTCCATATGACGCTCTCGTCACACGTAGGAGTGGTCAGACTACCCGAGTAACGGAAATAATCGTCCAAACTGCTAATGGAGGGAATAATGCTCTCCAGGGAGAATGATGGCACTGATCCCTCAGCTGAAAGCAAAAGTTGAAATATTGTCACTGCTTATCCCCAATGAAACGATTTATCTAGCAACAAACGCGCCAAATACCCCTTTTTATCATTTTTTCATGTCAATTTCCTTTCAAGATTGAAGGTTTCCATGTTTAATTCCTCTCAGATTGTATTCCTTTTAACTTCATAGATACATGTATGTCCATGTCGAATTCCTCTGGAGTTTGCTGGGACTAAATTTCCATGAAATATTGTTAAATTGACTAAAAAATACACTTTCCAGTGATTTGTCAAAGGCCTGGCAACTGATTTAACCAATTTATATAAAAAATCAATTTTTGACCTTAAAAAGCAAGGTATTTTCTGAGACAAATTTTCCATGTTTTTTTCCTCTTACATTTATCAGTTTCCATGGTTTATGCCAAAGCCAGAATTGGCAGTGCTGCACATACCTACCCAAATAATTTAGAGTGAACCCCCGTGTCATTAGATAAACTTGATTTTGATGTTCAATTTGCACATAATGAATGGTGTCCAATTGCCAATGGTTTTGGGAAAACTAAATAATTTTTTTACTATACGTGGTGCAACCCCTCCCTATATTGCATATCGAATCTTTTTAATGTTGTTTAATAACTTTTTGTTTCACTCGAATTTTCAATCCCCCCCATTAAACGAAATAAACATTGTCCTCCACTGTTGGCAACTAGACCGCACAATTCATAATATGGATTAAGTTGAGTTTAAAAACTTAATCAGAGAGGAAGATAGATCAAACGTTTTACCATCAATTCATTTAATTAGTAAATCTTTACAAATGCTAATTTCTTTAAATCGTGGTCAAAAATGATCAAATATAAAACATTTATTTTCTGTAAATATGAACGCTTGAAAAAGTTGCTGGCTTACTAATTTATGTCAGAATCATAATTTATGTAAGCAAATCAAAGTTTGCTTTAAAATAATATTTTTCTATTTCATTTATTTATCTTTTATTTATTTAGTACGAGTTATGCATCTTTCAAGCGTTGATCTTTCCAGAAAATAATGTTTTTATAATAGCCTATGGCGATCGTGTAAAAACATTTCACTTACACTCCCCTCCAAAAGTTTGGCAAAGTTTTCGTTGGATAATAGGCATATATCAAATCTGTCAAAGTTTGAATCGTAATCAAGTTTATAATTACAATAGTTCGGGAATTTATGACAACTTTGATTTTTTAAATCGCCGAAGATAAAAAAGGGGACTTTCAGTTGCCAAACTTTTTGAGGGGAGTGTAATTCCTTGACATTTTGGCTCAATAAGCTTAAGCTACAAAAAATACCGCTGCCAGAAACATCGAAACCACGTTGCATTAATGAAAAGGCGACACGGATCATAATTCAGAAAGCATTCGACACAATAATCTATTAAGGCTTTTTTACCAAGCCGGCAACATACTCGGTCGCCCAAAATTAAGTTTACAGTTATTTAACAATCTATTTATGTGAACTGTAAAAATACTTTTGCGCCACCCTGTATATGCACACTGAGTTTCAAACACCAAAGGCTAATCGCCTCCTCGAAGCTCAGCGTCAGGATGCGCCGTACATGAAATGAGGAAGCACAAAAAATTTGGCAAAGCCAATAACCTGCAAGATATACATTGCAACATGCTTATTAGGATCTCCCGTGGGAGATAATGGGAACAAATGGGGGGGGGGTTATCGTTGAATTGTAGCTTATGGAACGAAGCGTAGCACTCTGTCAAAATCAATGATTTATTTAATTCAATTCAATGATGGCCAGCATCTCAATCACCACATTCCAATAACAAGGCATTAACCGATGCAAACTGTCACCACCTGCTATTTGTTATAAACGCCAAACGCGGACCACCGTCAGTTGGGTATTATAAAAATATGTCACCACTTCTATAGTGGTGACATAACTAAAAACACCATACAATTCCCACATTTAATGCAACAACAAAATACTGAAAATAAACACATAAACACGTTTACAACACTCGTTTTAAAAAGGCTGTAATAAGCAAAAATATGTTATTTCTACTAAATGGGTTACCTTTATCTTTTTTATGCAAAAACAAAAACATAAACATTTATATGTGATACCATTATTTGTGTGATGTCATAAAGAGTTGATATCAATATCAGAAATTATCGTATGATCTGTAAAATAATCAATATGAAATATGGACGGGGTACTTTCATCCCAATTATTCAATTCAATCAATTTTCTCTACAGAACTAATGTTTATTAATTATAATTCTCAGTTCAGCCTTACACATCTCAAGCGATTGTAAACGGCACTTACATCGTAGTATAAAATCCCATCACAAATTTATTGTAACTGCCATTCGCAAAAATCATGCATTGGAACACAAAAACAAATATTTCGGATATTTTGTTATTCAGGATCCCATCGACCCTACAGTTCACATAGCAAAATATTTTTAAAAGCATAAATATGTTATATGGTAACTTTATTGAGTTTCTTTTACTTCGAACATTTTTCAAGTTGCCATCTCAATAAAACGTACAATCGGATTTCTTGCTGAATACAATCAATCATTAGGTCTAGTGAAATAACCCTGCAAATAAACTTCATCCACAAAGTTTAGTGTTTATTAGCTACGATCAGCGATATCTATTATGCATTTTCTCTTTCTGAAATCTTCTCAGTCGTCACTTTTTCGTAAAATAATGGCATTGTGGTGGCGGTGGGCCTCTTCGTATTTCAGGGAATAAAGAACGGGCATGTAGACTAACAGAAGTGATTTGTATATGAAACCTAAATCTCTATCTTCACAAATTGTTGCACAAATACTCTACAAATATTGAATTCTGTTGAGTCCATACCTGTCTATATTTCTGAGGGTGTATTCTACTCAGCTTTTCGGGCATATTCAATGATAGGGACATAATGGCTAAATAAAAATGAGACATCCCCAATTTCAATGCATGGCATCTCTACATTTTAAATCATTGTAAATTTTAAATCAAGAATGACTTGCGTATTTCATATGCTAATCAATATTTTCAAGCACAAGATAGCAAGGGACACTGTGACCTGTTTATTTATTGTTTATTTTACAAAATATTTTGCCGCTACTTTCTCCTTTACATAAAACAGTTCTAAAGCTACTATTTGTCTGAGAGAAAATAAGTGCATATTTTGTGATAGGTTTAATTGTGAGCAGAAATGTCTTGAATTACAACTAAAAATAGATAATTGATACCTTCTTCTTTAACATCGAGGCCCTAGCAACGATTGAATAGTCTTTTAAAACTCCACAAACATTGACTAAACATTGAAAGACTTTACATACTCGAAAACTCAATCTGTTTAATACTATATATGTACCGGGGCATAGGTTAAATTGTCTACTTCAGTATACGTATGTTCATCTTAAAAATTGTTGATTTCTTTTCACAAAGCTCGTAATAGAATGAATGTCCTGTATAGAAACATAAAAAACCCGTCGATTTTTAAAAAGGATTCTTGATGCATGTTGCAAAAAGATCAAAAGAAATAAAATCCTTTCGTCTGCAACATGTTTGCAATTCTAAAATAAACGTAGTCCTTAAGTGACCCTTTTGTACAACTGTGACCTATATACAAAAACATTGATAATATGCAGGTTAAAAATGTGGTAGTCGTACCAACACACAAGTTGATTATAATTGATTAATTGGCAAAAATAATAAATTCGGCATAAGTCCTTCGCCAAAATCAGAATGAAAGAAAATGTTTTTTTCGCCTGAAGCTATGACAATTATTTACCATAGTTGAGAAATATTCTCTTTTACTTCAGTTTTGCTAAGTTTATGTTTGTCTTGACAATTTTAAATGACCTACTCCATAAGAACTAACAAATTCATTTCAATTAATAGAATCATATGATAAATTGTCATTTAAAGGGGCAACAAGGCCTGCAGAGAGAAAATTTGAAACTTTACCTTTTCTGAGCTATCAGGGCAACATTTGGCTTAACATCTTCTTTGACATGCCCATTTTCTTAAAATGTATGGAAAAACTATCAATTTCAGCATTAAGAAGTGTAAATTCAGTTCAAAGCTTCTATAAAGGGAGTGCAACCTATAGATTTTTTGGATCCACCACGTTTCAAGAGGAATATTAGGTGAAATAATGTTCATCCAGGGGGTTTCTTTGGATATAATAAAAATATATGATAGTCTTGATGAAATATCCAAAATTAAATATATTTTGACACTGGTCCATCATCGTTGAATGGCCCCTCTGCACTAATTGTTGCACCTTTAAATTGGTTAACAAAATATATCACCCTTGCAATACAACGATGTTGGTCCAAATTGAAACTATGACTTGTGGTGGTGTGGTGTGTTGGGGGGGGGGGGGGGTGCAAATGGCTTGTAGTGTTGGAGGGGGGGGGGGCAAAAGGGCTTGTAGATACACTAATCAACAAGCACCGAAGACGTAAAAGCGATTGACAACAACGCCTGTAAGGAATGGTCATTACACATTGTATTGAGTCTTTGGCTGAAATTCTTTTTACACCTTGCAAAATATTTTCTAAAATCATTTTATAGGTACAGTACGAAATCACTAAATGAACATATTTTCATTGAAAGTTTTTGCAAGGGTCAAACTGGCAAAGTATCAATTTTAATCTGTAAAGTCAGGTCATCACCGTGACAACAGTTTAACTAGTGACCTTGAGTTCGTTATTGGTTATATAATGGAATGTAGTTACGTGAAATAACGTGTTCTGATTGGTTGGAATTGGACATACCTTGCCTAATTATGTATGAATTTATAATCAATGGTCGGGGCTGAAAAAAAGATTATACTATATAACAGAAGGGTCATACCTTGGGAAATTCCGGTAGCATTCAAGACGGTACCGCTCAGAGAATCGAGAATAGGATTGTAGGCTGTGTTGTCGGCATCTCCGACCTAAAATCACAACGGTAATCATATTACAAGGGTCGTTCGAAAAGTCTTGCACGACAGCTTCTCAAGAGAAGAGATTTTATCATTTTTATATGAGATTTCATACAGATATAGTATTACCCTTCTTACAAGCATATATGAAATTTCAGGACCATAAGCAACATACTTCCTGAGATACATTGACTTAAAAATTTGAACCAATGGCCCCATGGTATATATGACGTCATTGGATTGAATTGATTTTGTGAATGACTTTAATAGACTGAAATGATTCCGTCAATCTTTGTTCTTTCAGCTGTTAATCAGGTTATATATAGTCTTCCTTTTCAGTAATGCATTATACTTGTAGCATTATATAATAGGATTTTATTAGTACTGATGCCCTTTTAGGGCCAAACGTACATCCGATATACAATTTTCAATAACAGTAAATATAGCAATAAAGTAAAGAAAATAGGATTACATTCTTCAAATGACATATAAAATGTTACTTTGATATTATGAAGATAAACAACTTAAGTCAACTTTAATCATAAGCAAATGTCTGAACCATCAGTACCTATAGGATATCAAGCCCTATTATATTAACTACAGCTACCCTCAATACATTTCCCTTCTCTTATTCCATCTTGGGATACTTAGCAAACCCTTTTGGAGTCATCATATGCAATATGTCTTAATCATGAATGAATATAACTTGTGTAATACTGTTTCCCCATTCTTTATCATGTATTCTATCAATGTTTTCTGCTCCAAATTTATTATTCCGAGCCATATTCTCCAATATTTCCTGAATTCATGAGAACTTTGATAACGTCACAAAATCAGGTGATTTGTTCAAGATACTTGAAGAGTATGTTTATGGTCATTCTTTGACATAACAAATGAAAACAAGATGGGAAATATTGAGATAAGATTCGAATTTTCAATGAGAACAATACTAGAAATTGTTTAAATCTAAATTGACAGTTTATGAAAGTTAATTTAGTATGCTTAGTAACATTGATCTTTATGTGGTACTAGTTATCTTTTACAAAATGATATGGACCACAGCGTCATCACCGCGGTTACTATAGCAACCGTAAAATGTTAAGAAGTAGGCGTTGGTCCATTATTCTCACAATTAGACATATTTGTGCAAAACCTTTTGAACAACCCTTGTACATGTAATACATAAAGGTGCAGAACACTAATTAAGATAAGGTCCTAGTTTCAATCAATGTTTCTTTCAATACAAAAAGTACAATGTAAAATTATTTTACATATGAATACTGGATTTATAAAGAGTAAATGGCGTGCTTTAAATTCACATACGAGTCAAACATGAACATTCAAAATCAAGCACAAGGACTACGCTAAATTTACGAAAATATGGTAGCCATTTTGAATTTGGAGATCATATTGAGAAATTCCCTCTTGAACAGAAGGTTCGAACCTATAAAGTAGTATTCTTTTAAATATTACTAAAGGTAGACTTAGTTTTTTTACAGCAAAAGTGGCAGCTTAGAGTAGCAATTGAGCTAACGATTACTTACTTGAAAGAAAAATCCGAGAACGGCGAGTCCCTTGTCCTTGTCGATTGCGTATGAGACATTATCCATGGCTGTGTTGTAATGGACAATATGTACCTGTAAATATTATAATTTCACCCGTCAACTAAACTCAACCTTGTCTCAGTTTTTAATAACCTTTCTTCTTCTTTTCTTCTTCTATTATTGTACTATTGTACTATTATTGTATTATACTTCCACTACTATCCTACTGTTGGCATCCTACTATAACAATCATTTGCGAGTGAAACTGGAATATTATGTTGAATAAGATTTCAACATTAAAAAAATTATTTTTGGATAAGAACTTAATGTGATTGTCGACCGTGCCCTGTGTGTCGTTCGAATTCCTTAATCAAATATAGCATTCATTTCTTTTAAATTCTACTGATTTCAAAGTTTTATAAAATATCCATACACGTCCATGGGGAGCTTCAGAAGGGCATCAGCTAGATCTATCATAATGGTAAAGTGACTAAATAATGCCTCGGTCGCATTTGACCGACGGCAACCGTACGGCGGCCGTAGCTTCCCAAACTCGAAGAGAAATATGCAGCATAAACTATGGAGAAAGTACGATGTAATACGATGTAGATTCTAGAGAGATTTCGCAACTCACTTATAGCATGCATGTGTATTATTCCCGTATGCAGGTATGACGTGATGAAGCATTTGATTATGTCATCATTTATTACGCAGATATATACGTCCATAAGTGTGATATTCTTATAAATCGTCGTCCATACGAACGACTTATGGACGTATATAGGACGTATATAGAGCTGTGCAATAAATGATGACGTATTCAAACGCTTCATAAGTTATACGTCATACGGGAATAATAAACATGCTATAAGTAAGTTGCGAAATCTCTCTAATTTATTGATTTTGTGAAGCTACGGCCGCCGTAGAACAAATGTGACTGAGGCTTTAAATATTACCTCCATTGAATATTTGTTTCCGTTAAGGGTATGCTCTGAGCCTCTTTCATTGTCAGTTCCCCAATGGAAATGCAACTGAGCTGCTTTGTAGTCGTTAGCAAAGCCGGCCCCATTCAGTCTAAAGTCCATATTATCCAACATAACAGTCACTGGAAATATAGTATTTCATAAGGTTAATAACAGATCCTAGCGATATTATACTTAAATCTAAAGTGTATATTGTATTTGCAAGGGCGTCAGATGGATTTGCCAAGGAAGGGGGCAGCTTTTGGGTATGGATGAGTCGTACGTGAAGCGCGCCATCTAGGGGGATCATGGGGCATGCCCCCAGAAAGTTTTTTTAGACCCTCTCTGGTGCATTCTGAACATGTCTCAAAACAATATTCCTAATAATAAAAGAAAAAATTGTGAGTTTAGAGAACTCAACTTGACTTTGACTAAAAAACTTTGACTTTTAAAAAATATACATTTTGCACTTATTCTTCAAAGTATTTACATACTGTATGGGTTTCACTTTAATTACTGTAGGGGTTCACTTTAATTTGCTCTAGCTGCTTTCAATTCTAGGCTCGGTTTCAAATCTAAAAAAATCTGGAAAAGGGGGGGGGGGGGTCGCCCCCCTGGAATGTTTCAAAAGTGAGTCCCCTTTGCAAAAGCTGGTTACGGGCCTAGATCATCCTTTCAGCAAGGGTACATCAAGGGCGTTACAATACCCGGGAATTTATCCCTTGGGTACTGTATATAGTATTTTATGAATTTAAGCATAAATGAAGTACTTTGAAGAAGGATGACCTATAGAGGGCTTAAACAAATAATACAAACCTGTATGTCCATTGTTGATTACTTTGTAGGTCTTATTAGCATCCAACTGAGCATAGTTCGTTAGAGTGAGGGGGGTTAGCGTCTCGTCATAGTGCATAGTATTTGTATCAAAGTTTATGGGACTCTGCTTTTGACCGCCACAAACCGCAAATTCATTTTTCCAATTTGATGGCCCTAAAACATATCAAAACAAAATCTATCTAAATGTAAGATTTAAATAGACGAGACAAATCATTTTCACAACTAAAGCCGAAAAGACGTTTATATTATTTGGAGTCAGTTGCCTAGACGACTGCCTCGTACATGTAGCTGCGCCCATTATTGATGTTAAGTTACGAAATAGTGTATATAATTAGGGGTATTATCATTATGTGTAAAAATATGTTTATGGAAACTGATATTTAAGTTGTCAATGTTTGAATTGACAAAAATCCAAGTTTAATGATACGTGTGATCCCGGGGTGTGTGATGCGCAAAGCCACACACGTTTAGTTTAGTATACTTATGGCCATGGGCTTTCAACAGTCTCTTAAAAGCCCATGCCTTGACCTCATATAAAATATATATATTGAAATAGTGCATCATTTGTTACTAAATATGCCTTGAATAAAGGCATTATTACAAGAGGAATAACCGGTTAACCCTTTTTCAGTTTTCTGACCAGGGTCACGATTTTGTACCGCAAGCGAAGATGACCGAAGATGCTTCAAGGAATTTGATTGGTTCCTTAAAGCATCTTCGGCCATCTTCGTGATAGAGACATCTTAATGTAGGTTTGTCTTAAACAAGACAAATTTCTTAGCTAATTTTCTTAGCTAATACATGTACACTACATGTACAATACAATATTTACTGCACTAAGTTTCAAGTGCGTATTTCAAAAACACATCGTCTATCTCTAGCTTTTGACCTTAGCTTAGGATGGAACATCAGAATTATTGTAGTGAAAGTGTAATGTATGACCACTATGAAAAATTTTGCACTTTCATGGAGATGTTAAAAGACGACGTAGACGTACACTCTTCTTGGCAAACCCAACTCGCCATTCGCCAATATTTCAAAACGCGAAGGCGAATGTTCAAGAAAACATTTTTGTAAAAATGTTACACCTGCCCATGTTGTTTTGTGGTGCAAGATAAAGTGGTTTCAAAATTTGCACAACGCATGCAACAAGGAAAATGGGAGCTATTTACCTCTTCTGGTACTGGGAGGATAGGGTCAACGTCTCCAGTAAAGACTTTAAACAAATGCTCATAAATTCGACCTGCATGGTTTTGTATTGCTTGATTGTGATTATTCAGCACTTAGATTCAGCCAAAACCTCATGTTTTCAAACAAGAGATTTTGCCCCGATCGCAAAAACGAATTAGACGTGTTTTAGATACAGGAAGACAACGTCATAATTTAGCATACACGTCGCTGGATAAAAAAGGTTGGCGAGACAAATTTAACCACTCTACTTTAAGAATCTTTTTCACCCTGTTATATCATCAAGGGCATTTCACTTCAGAACCAGGGTATTTTATCAAACATTAAAATAAATGTAATTTGAACTTATCGAAATAAATCGGATAAGTTTATAAATTATGTAATTAATTTATGTGTCGACAGATAATTTAATTCCACTTCAGATTATGTTTTCATACCATAAAGGGCACTAGAAGACGGGGATGAATATCCATCAAAGTGTACAGGGGCGGACTCAAGGAGGGGGGGGGGGGGGGGGGGGGGTGGGTGGGCAATAATTTCATGGCAATTTTTAGGCCCTAATTTTTTTTGCATCTCGCCTTTTTAGGGAAGGCCTCCCCCCTCCCCCATATCTACCACTTTTGTATATCGCATATTTAACTTGATTTTAATTGACCTCGAAAGTGTATTAACCTTTCGATGAATAGAATAATATTTTGACAAGATAAGATGGGCACTTCAAATTAAACATCCAATTCTGATAACGTCAACAATGTCTGGCATATTAGGCATATTTATTTATTTATTTATAGTTCACACATAATATATATATATATAGGGTGTCTCAAAAAATGTACCCAAAAGTATATCAACAGCATACAAACTAATCAATATTTTCAGACATTTTTTGCATGGTCTTGTATAGTCAAAACATGTAAGTTTTTTCCCCTATACACAGTTTTTAATTCACTTTTGCCTTTTTGATACTTAACCCTTATTACCTTTTACACAACATAATAAATGTAACATCATATTTCGATCACAGTCTGCATCCTTACTACTACATTGTTCATTGCACTTGATATTTCTGGTGGAATAATTTGATTTCTGTTCGGATGCTGGTCTTAAGTTGTTCTAGGTCTCTTAGCTTGGGTTTAGCATAAAAATGGTCCTTCAAATAACCCCTGAGAAAAAAGTATTGGTCATCAATAAGGCCCTCACAATGTCTTATAGCCCCTTTATACAGAGAGGTCAGACGTTCGGGAAACTGCATAGGTTGGGATTCTAGTGTAGCCTTTTTTGTGTGTAGAGGGGCTCAATCAATTTGAGACCACTGTGTTTTCATTTGGATATTATTTGGTATCCAGGCTAGCCTGCATGGCTCTGGAAGGCAACTCTCTAATCATTTGCAGATAATTGACCTGATTCTCCGTGTTTGTTCTGCCGCAGCCATCGTCATCCTCAAACATCTTTCTCAGTGGCTATTTGGGGGTGTTTCAATGCTCATTCCAAGCAAAAAGACGAAGAACAACTTAAAGGCAACAAGATAAGAGAAGTCCAAAACATTCCACCTGAATTATTATCAAATGAACAATGTAGCAGTAAGGATACAGGCTGTCATTGAAATATGAGGTTGTTACATTGATTATGGGGTGTAAAAGGTTAGGGGTTAAAGCATCAAAAAGGCAAGACTGAAATAAAAATGGTGTATTGAGGAGAAAACTTTCATGTTTTGGCTACATGACCATGGAAAAATGTCTAAAAATATTGATTTGTTTATCTGTGTTGTTGATATACTTTTGGGTACATTTTTTGAGACATCCTGTGGTGTCGTGGTACTAGATCACGGTATCATGGTACTACTTACGAAGGGGACAGACCTCGCCCATGAAATTGCAAGAATTTTTAAGGAGGTCATACATTACGCTTTCATTACAATAATTCTCGTGATAACATAACATCCTAAGGTCAAAAACTAGAGATATACGATGTGCTGATAGACGATGTGCTAAAAATACCTACTTGAATCTTGAGACACTAAAATGTTGTTAAAACAGAAACTCTGGTCGATCAGTTTGATCTATTTCTTATTTTCTTCATATAACAATAGATCAAAATACAAATTATTAAACAGTGGACACCCTAAATAGGTGTATATACTGCTTGATTAAACATAAATTGAATATAATAATAGCGAAAATTTATCGATATTTGTGAAAAGTGGGATATACTGACGTCCACCCTAAATGCATACTTCTTATCCAGAGGGGGAGAAACACCAGGGTTCAAAGATGACATACGCTTATAATGTAAATCTGTATTGAGATGACACGGTCGCTGATTGGTCAAAAGTCGACAAACAAATGACGTCATCAATGGCGGTTTCAAAATTTTCGAAATACGCTTCGAATAATATTATGTTCATTTCTGGCGTGTTAACCAATATCACAGCTTCTCATTTCACATCAAGATAAAGAAAGGTGTACGGAATATGCCTATAACATCCCATCGAAGTGTAGTATTTGATAGCTAGCCGATGAAAATTCGAACGAACGAAGGTGGTAAGCAAGAGAGGTAATTATGTCTGTCATCTTGAAACTCTGGGGCTTTCCCTCCTCTTCTTCTTATCAAAATAATCACTACTTTGTTCTTATTTACGTTTGTTATTTTTTGTTTTGTTATTGGCACAATGGTATAATCGATATATTAAGTTTGATTTACAATGTCGTATACGAATATATATATAAAATAATCAAAATATCTCCTAAGATCATTTGCTGAAAATGTCATGGAAAATATGAAGTATTGATAAAGTTACAACAGACAGAATTTTTTTAAATCAGTAAACATGAACAGACTCGACATGTGATCTGAATGGGATTTTCTTTTGTCATACTTGTGGAGGGGAGTGTATGTGGTATCCATGGTACCAAGGCCAATTTTGGATTCATGGATGAATCATCCTCGTTCACTCGGCTGCCGTCGGTCGATGAACGCAGTGAAGACCGAGCGTGCGAAGATGTGGATGAATGACATTGGATACGAGTTCCATGGTACCTTTGATCTTTTCTATGATCATCCAGCACAGGGCTTGAAGAGCCAGAGTCTTTTATTTCCCCGGGTTTATTTCCCTCCATTTATTTGGACACGCAGTGCAATTAACGTTATCCCTGAGTTCAACACCCTATTTTAAACTTTACTTACCATTGTCGCCGTGGTAACCCCATTCTGAAACAAAATAAAGAATACAATGAGTCATGAGTTATGGTAAGAATCATTGATCATTATTGTCATGCTTCAGTCACATTTGATCTACGGCAATCATAATATTTTAGGACAAAAGAATGCTTAACTTGACCAAGTCATATTACCTGGTCCAAATACATGCAACGCAATGCAACTGAACTTAAAAATATAGTATATGTAGTATAAGGGCAATGCTTTATGCCATTATAAAAAATCTAGTTGAATGTCTTTAGAAAAACATAATTTCGTGTATTGAAATGACATATTTCTATTAATTTTTTTCTTCTAGCAAAACAGACACAAGTCGCAAAATGTTTGGTATGTTGACTGGAACCGAATAAGTATGATGTGTACTTCAAGGTAATAAAGTAATACTAATATCATACTAATGTCCAATCATAAGTTCGAATAATAGTTTCCTTTCAAATATTAATTGTGTGACATATACGAGACCAATGTTAATGCTACCAGGGGATTCGGACCTACAGGCCTTACAATTTATACATGTTTTTTTGTGTTTCGGTACGTGATTTATATTTTTTAGTTTTTCAAAGAAATCTACAAATATTTCGTTGCGGTTTTATCTTTACATCGTTTTTTTAAATCACCGCCATTACTTTTCAAACGGCGTTACCTTGAAATACAAAGACACATTGATATTCCCATGTCATTCACCATTCATTAAGCAGTAAAAAATTAACTTGCTCCATGAGTGACAAACTATTTCAAGTTTCCTGGTGACGTCGAATCTCACATCATACGAATGTAATTTTAATCGATCTGTCTGCATGGGGTGAATGTCTCTAGTCTATAGCGGGACAAACAATGTCTTTAGTAGAGTTTTCGTAACGTTTTCAAAAGGAAAGGCAGCACGTAGGCATACGTGCAGTTCTAGAATTTCATATCGTGTATTAAAATGTTATCCTTTTCTATTGAAATCGTGACAGCATTTCTCAGACTTATAAAAACTAATCAATAGGCAGATCTGAATAAAACGTACTTTTTAGCTCATAGGTTGAGCAATTGTTACCCCCTACTTGTTTAAATATGACAGACAGGGAGGAAAATAAATTAACAAATGTGTTCTACATAAAAAACTTGTCCGAAAAGACTTGAGTTTTTTAAAGCTTGACATTTGCATTCGCTGTTCAAAAGTGTGTTTTTACCACAGATCTATTAACCTACTTGAACGTGAATAGATACTTTGAGACGCAACACAAAAGCGTTTTTGAACAAACTTGGCCAATGTCCTAAATACTCAGGTAAACATGTTCAACTAAAAATATTTCAAATTGTATTTTACATTTTTATGTTAAGTAGGATTGAAAACGTCATATACTGTATATGGGTGTTTCTATTCATAGATTTCCCTTATCATCCAATATCTCATTTTTGTAATATCATTCCTCGCCATGCTTAGATTTTAAAAATTCCACAACGCCTTAGTTTGTTTGAAGAGACATTAAGATTTTTTACTGAAATAACTATAATACATATGTTTGTGAAAACAAAAATGTGTATCAATCGTCATTAACTTCACCATTTGGTGTAAAATCTGTATTAATCCTTTGAGAGGTATGCCATTACGAATATTAATTTAAAGGTTTGGTTGAAGAAGTTTCTTTACAATTTAGTCTTACTTTAGATGTAATCTCATACTTTAGACGTAATCTCACACTTTAGACGTAACCTTATACTTTAGACGTAATCTTATACTTTGGTTCTTCAAATGCAAGATTATCAAGTCTTAGGTATATCGGGAGGTGTATGAGTTATCATGTAAACGAATAATTATAGTTAAGCCAAATTGTTCGTGTAAATATTGTATAATAAGTGCCAAATCCCTGGCCAAATCGTATTACATTTGCTCGATATTTTTCTTTCATTAAATTTTGATTGACGATCTTGAATAGCCACACCAGGACACGGATTTGTAACACAAAAGCTGTTTTGAAAATGTACCCTTGGCGACCTTAGATAGAGTAATGGTCCAGTTAAGATTGATATTCGTTTAATGTACGAATCCAAGGTCTGAATCAGTAGCAAACCATTCATGCTTTTTGTGTTTGTTAAAGTATTATAGTTATCGAAGCACATAAAAGCTCTGGAAATGGAGGGAAGATGTAGATAAAAAAAATTACATAATTGTTATTAAAGTCCCCGATAAATCGGGCTACGTATACCGCCGTGTTTACATTAGGGGTTTAGAAGAGTTTATTTTTTATTTAGGTATGCAAGCTACGTATATCAATATTAGGCCTTCATTCATGTACTCGTGTGCATGTAATCAGCATGCCCTTCAATATTATGTAAACCAGGCTATTCAAGTTAAGGAATAAATAATGATAGGCCATTCAATATGGTGAAATTCAGCACGAGTTGGACAGAATGTTGTACAAAGCACGAACCGAAGGTGAGTGCATTTGTACTAACATTCTGTCCAACGAGTGCTGAATTTCACCATATTGAATGGCCTATCATTATTTATTCCGATTCAAACATAAAAATTAGTAAAAGCCGTGTCTGTGGAACGGGCATGAAGGAAGAATACGCATGAGATGTGACGTCACTCAAAACAATGCAAATTGCAGATTGAATAGAGCATGGTCGTGCATCTATGGAGAATTAGAGAACGTTCTATATTGGCTATGCTGCATTCTGATTGGTTGAGAAATTCGAATAGAGCACGGTCATGTTTGAATACTGTATAATGTACACTATTTATGTGTGTACTACATACAATACAATTCCCTGGGAAACAAAACACAAATACTTTTTATATGTTCAAAATGAGCTATTTGATTGATGCAAACACTAAATAGCTTCATAAATAACATCTACAACGTATATCTAATAGTAATTTTCAATTTCAATGGTGAAACTTCCCTGGTTACGATTATATGGGAAATCATCACGAGACGAAGATCGTTCGCCTTCCTGGCTTACCTCTGAATCGTGTACCTGGTAATCTCTTTATATAGTTTAGCGAGAGCGGTGCGCCTGCGCAGTTTTAAACTTTGGCGCACACTTTAAAGTCTTTAATAAACCTAATATCATAGCAATCATGGAATAGATACATATATAAATGTGTTACATTATTCATATATATTTTTTTAACAGTGACAATCTTACAAATAAGGTGCAAATATACTGTTTAGAGTAAAACACAAATTCAACCAAGACAACATAATAACGATGTTTTAGATGACCTCCATTTTGATACTCTTCACACCAGGGGTTGGGCTCCATGTAATACATGGGTCACATTTGCTCCGATCCATCGGCCCTCACCCGGCCGATTGATTGTTTTGTTCAATATTGTATTTAATTTTGAACAAAATACTCAATCGGCCGGGCCCCGTGGAGAAAATCGGAGCAAATGTGACCAAGGCATAATATAAGGCTTTGAGAGCAGCCGGTCAAAATGGCACGACGGACCAGTTGCCATGTAATTTTCCTATACACCAGTGTAGACTGATAAAGTGGCCATATATAGAAGGCCATGATTTAGATGGATTGTCCCCCCCCCCTCTCCATTCTTTTGGGGCATTGTAACCATTGATTTTGCCAGCCCCTCCCTCTCTCTGATTATAAACCAATTATTAGCCAATTAGTTATCAATTGCAATCGTCAGTTTCTCCCGGCAGTTTCCCACAAAGTATAGATACATTCATGTCTATATGACCCCAATCTCTAATAACTAATTAGCTATTAAACCAATACCTGATCAAAAGTTATCTGGTCCACTACATGTATTGTTATGTCACATGCAATTACATAACTGCATAATATAGCAAATTAAATTAAATTAAATTGTCGCTAATGTTATTACTAGCTTCAATTATATCAGACAATTATTGGAATAATTATCAAGTTTGATAAGATTTAATTAAGGCATTGAAAGCCCATGATTGAGGTGTTGTCACAACTTAACAGAGATAGTATGAGATATTAATTTTCCAGTCTCGATGAAATTAAATACATGTACACTATCTTAACTTGTCAAATTCATCCTCTGTCCAAGGGTATTTATCTTCTTTCCATATTTAGTTTTCCTGAATTGAGTAATAAATGAAGCCCTTTGAATGAAGGATGGTCAAGTTAACTCAAGTACATATGCAATCAGAGTCATTCTAGCGAGACTGTGCGAGTTTGCCACCGGGGATGAATCTAGCCTACCCTTTCCATCCACGTTTACCAGACTTATTTGCCGCTATACTACAAAAGGCGCATGGGCATCGCGATGTTGTCTTTCCAATAGTTAAGATTTACTTCTTAAAAGAGAGTAAGTTGCATCTACCCAATTTACTAACCCCTGATAATCGGTGTAGTACTCATAATGGTTGGGGAAGGGAATTTAAAAATTCGTAAATTAGGCAATAGGGCCTACAATCAAAATATTTACTTGGCCTCAAGTTTGCCAATTTATATATTGGCTATTGACACAAAATGGTTGTACTGGATATCTATAGGTATCATCATGTATTCATTTTTGATTCAATAGGCATTCTGTTGTATGCATCAAAGATAACTGAGGCCCGGGGGTTCACTCTAAATAATTTTGGTAGGTATGTGAAGCACAGCCAATTTTGGCATTGGGCATGGGAAACCATGGGAAGTGGCCAATCTGAGTGGAAAAATGGAGAAACCATCTTATAAGTACCTTTTTAAAGGTCAAAGTTCAGTTTTTATACAAAAAATGGTTAAAAATTGGTTAAATCAGTTGCCACGGCCTGGGACAAATCACTGGAAAAGTGGCCATGGTATTTTATATTGTCTGAGAGGAATAAAACATAGAAATCTTAAATTTTGAGAGTAAATTGACATGGAAAAAATGCTCAAAAATGGGGTCTTTGGCGCGGCACATAGGTATAATAAGAGGTATATTGGAGTGAAACCCCCGGGAGCTGAGGTCAGTATCAGTACATGGGAACGGCTCAATGAATAATCCATCTTCTTTTCACGAACTGTTATTTTTTGTTGAAATGCAAATACATGAATATCTTACCCGGGGTGACCCGAAACGGTATCTTCTACACTAGTTTTTACAAGGCATTTTCATGATGTTACCAAGGTAATGTATCATATATATGTATCTTTTATTTCCAACTTTTCGGGTCGGATTTCATATTAACAATTACATCACTGTATTCCAAGCATTACAGTGTTAAAAGAATAAACATCCGTTTCGGTAACAAAATGACGTGCATATGCTTGTAGTTGTCTTTTACCTAAACGGATCTGTCATCCTACTTCTCCGAGTTCGCAATTGTTATGCTTAGAGAGATGTTTATCTTCTATATCCGTGGCAAGTTATCTTTATTCATGTTTTTTTTAAATTTTGTACACCATAACATTTATAGTTACTTGCGAATATGCAATTTCTCACGGCGTAGACTTTTAAAATATATAAAGATGACTTAATTTGAATTCTGTTCTAACGTAGCCGAGCGATTTTCTTGAATTTGACAGAAATAATGAGTAATAGTTAAATACATTGTTTGTAACAGTTTTTAACAGTTTTGAGCAGGTTTTATTACTTTCTGATCATTTGTATCTGAGCCAGATTTAGTCATTTCGCAAATTTCTCACATTTTTTGCAAGAGTTCAATAACAAGCATCATTGGCATAAATACACTCATCTTGTTGGATTAAATGTACGCTTAATCCATTTTCTCCTTTCTGGAAAGGATATTATCACGTACAGTATTACTTAACACTTTGAATGTGATCAAATAGGGCATACCATTCAAGGCCGAAGCTTATATAATTTTGTAAGTCGTCCAAATCCCAAGTTGTTTATGTGACTGATATGCACTTTTATGGATGAAAACAGCAAAAAAGGCGAATAGAAAAAATAAACTCAAGAGCATAAAATTGTAAAAATTGATTTTTAATTTTTTTAATCATAACTTATGGTTCTGGACTGAATATCTTCAGAAACGAGATTCGCTATAGCTGAGACAGAACGAATACATAAGTTAAGAATCCAAGGTCACAGTAAAGAATCCAAGGTCACAGTGAAGAATCCAAGGTCACAGTTAAGAATCCAAGGTCACAGAAAATTTATCAACACTTAAACATTTAAAATATGGGTTGTTTTACATCAATCACTTTGGGTCACTTTGTCCGCATGGAGTATTAACTAAAAAGGGTGAAGATATGTAATATTTACACCCACTCCACAAGTTTGGTAACTGGTAGTATTTTTTTTGAACTATACATTGTTTGCGTTGCATTGCATTACATTGTTTACATTGCATTACATTGTTTACATTGCATCGCATTACATTGTTTACATTGCATCGCATTACATTGTTTGCCTGTTTATGTTGGGCGATTTTTAAAAATTCATCAACTTTCTCATGAATTTCAAAACTATTCTAATTAAAGGAATGCAATAAAGATTAAAACATCAGAAGGCTTTAACATGCTATTAAATGAATACTCCCAGTTTCCAAACTTATCAAAGGGAGTGTATGTTTTATAAATATATTTCTTTAGTGCATTCTCCATCTTAGCCCCATAGTCCAACGCATAGCATTCACTTTGAAAGATAAAACTCCGCGTAGGCTAGGCTAAGGGGTAGTTTCAATATTTTATTCATTAAAATACATTTATTTCATTATAAAGTATTGAGAAATGTACGTCCATTAAATCGCCCGAATGCAGAACAGCAGGGTAGGGTGCAAGTGCGTGTAGTTGATTAGCCGTTGATTAAGAAAAAAATATGACCTATAAATAAGATAAATGCCGGTCATAGACCCCATGATTTATATGAGTAATTACCCTTTGAAATAAAAAAGGTGTTTGATTGAACAAAATCTCCACATTCATAGTGCTAAAGACTCCTGTTTATTTAAACTTATTTTACTGCGCTGTGAAAATATATACACATACACTGCACAAACAATACGATACATAACTTATTTAAATAATAGGTAACATATATTTTAACCACCTCTTTAAGTGACCAACTTTTGTCACATTTGTTCCGATTTTATCTACGGCGCCCGGCCGATTGAGTATTTTTTCAAAGATGAATACAATATTGAGCAAAACACTCAATTGGGCGGGAGCCAGCCGATGGATCGGAACAAATGTGACCAAGGCATAAATGAAGTAGTTTCTGAAGAAGTTCAATTATTTCAATTTGTATCATTATTATTCTTTGGCAGAACAACATAAACTTGAGTTTCTTTGTAAAAGCGGGTGTGGTTTTTGACGACGAACTCTGACTCGGTGAGATAATAGATTAATTGTAAAATGAAAGAGTGGAAGACGAAGCTCTCTTTTAAGAAGTGAAGTCGAACGAATGCAAAGGGTAAAATTGATGCAATACGATAGATCATAATCACAAACTAAATGAAACTGTCAAAGAGAAAAATAATTTAACTTCTTTGGCAATTGAAGTTGCCCACATTAAAATGCAATTGACCGTGAATTTTTGGCCCACCAATGTAAGGTCAAATGTTTTTGACATCTCTCTTTTTTCTTCCCTTCTGAAGACCAAACAAACAAACAAACATACAAACAAACAAACAAAAAACACAAACAAACAAAATAAACAAATAGTCTTACCGGCTGCGTTTGCTACGGCTAGAACAACTGCCAACGTTTTCCAGAAAAATGTCTGCATTTTTCAACCGTGATGTTCCTAATCGATGTGAAGTCCTACTGAACGTCTGGTGCAGTTGTTAAATCTCGGGTTAACGGTTTTGTCAACGATCCCAGCAGACCTGAATTATCTGACCCAACTGATTCGGTTTTGGCAAATGTCTTATTTACGCTCGTTTTATCCCTTAATCACTACAATGCGTTCGTTTCACTCTGGCAATATAGTAAGTATCGATATCAATCAACAGCGAAATATGCGAGCGGCTGGAGTGTTAAAAATGAGCACGTCGCTCTTATTTATATTGGTTGCCAGCACATGCGAATCACATAAATGAGTCAAAAGCAAATAAATACGAGGGACGAGCTATTGGAGATATTACATTACATTACATTACATGGCATTGCATTGTATTAGATTGCATCGCATTACATTACATTGCATTGTATTGGATTGGATTGCATTGCATTACATTGCATTGTATTAGATTGCATCGCATTACATCACATCACATTGTATTGGATTGGATTGGATTGGATTGGATTGCAGTGCATTACATTGCATTGTATTGCATTACATCTTATTACATTGCATTGCATTGTATTACATTATATTACATATTTGGCTTTATTTTATTTTGCTAATTTGTTATGGTATGTTATGTTTTGTTATTGTAATGGTTATGCTATGTTACGTTACGCTAAGTTATGTCATGTTATGTTTTGTTAAGCTATGTTATGTTATATTACCCTGAGCGCAGAGTCTGGCTATAATCTACCCTAAAGAGTGAAGATGAAGCTATCTTTTGAGAAGCGAAGCCGAACAAATGCAAAGCGTAATGTTATATTAATCATATTATTTAATACTATATTTTATTATTTAATTCTATATTACAGTATATCTTTCTAAAGAAAATTATTATTGTATAGGTTTCTCGCTTATTTTAGATATGTGCTCAAGTAAAATCCAAAATTTTGATTCACACTACCCTACCTCGATCGCGCATGCGCGAGACTTTTGATTTTCGCCCAGGGCACTTTTGAGTAAATTGACTGCATCTCAGAAAGCTTAGAACGTATCGAGAAAGAAATTGGTCATTATTGTTATTCACTCAATTCCAATTGTAAATTAGTGAAGTACATGTTCAAAACTATATATGTCTCTACAAAGAAACAAATAAATAAAATCGTTTTAGATTTTCAAATACGTGTAGGTGATACATGTATGTCTGGATACAGGGCACAGAATGTGAAACTTTGATCTATACAGGGCACAGCCAATGTAAATTGTTCAATAGTACAGGGATCATTTGATACAGGACGATTTGCTGGTTTTATATCAAAACCAATTATAAGATGGTCAGTAATATATCAGAAACATTTACTTTGTACAATAGTGCGACGGTACATTTTTGAACCACTAAATGTAATTGGTCTAATCTTAATTTTCAAACGAGTACAATAACAATGTACGCACATATGCCAATCATTATTTCTAATGCGCTTGATATCCAGTGGTACATGGAACTATATTTGATATTTGACATCAAAAACCAGAATATAATGAATTATAGAAAGAATGATACGTTTCATTAGATTATATTATTAATGTACACTCTTCATTATAATAGAACACAGAGAAAACTGATATTTGGGCTAAAAGTAGGCTTTTATTATGTCCCCACCACATAGTGTGGGGCCATATTGTCGGCCTAGGCGCGTCTGTCTGTCCGTATGTCCGTATGTCCGTCTGTCTGTCCGTCCGTCCGTACGTCCGGCAGATTTCTCCAAAACCGCTACAGATATCACCTTCAAATTTTCAGGGATAACTTATGAGTGCATCTAGATGTGGATCAAAAAAATTTAACTCGATACCTACTTCCTGTCGGCCATTTTGAAGTCAAATGCTAAAATCCTTGTCTGCAAACTTTAAGAAAAATGGCTTCACAGTTGCTTTTGAAACTTTAACATCTTGTTCAGCTCACTTCATTCTAGATCTGATTAAGTTTTGGACCTGTTAGCTCAGTCATGTCAGCCATTTTGAATGTTTTAAGAAAAGTTAGCGCGCGATAATACTTAGTATCATATTGAATGGTGTTTTTCAGTTTTCATACCATAACTATTTAGTAGCTTTAATATAATTTCAGGTGTACTTTGTTGTAAAAGCCTATGTTATTGTTGACAGTACAGTTATATGTGATAATTTTGTAAAAAGAAATCAGCAAAAACTCATAATCACTTTTTTATTGTTGGCCATTTTGGATTTTTCCGTCCTAAAATCTTGTCTGTAAAGTCTTGTCTACGCGTTTTCAGGTGAACCGTTTGGTAGATCAATTTCAAATTTTCAGGGATGATTCTTAGTACGAAAATCTAGATCTGATTAGTTTTTGGGCATTCTGGGTAAATGTCAAGGCAGCCATTTTGGATTTTCCGTCCTAAAATCTTGTCTGTAAAGTCTTGTCTACGCATTTCCAGGTGAACTGTTTGGTAGATCAATTTCAAATTTTCAGGGATGATTCTTAGTATGAAAATCTAGATCTGATCAGTTTTTTAGCATTCTAGATAAATGTCAAGGCAGCCATTTTGGATTTTCCATCTTAAAATCTTGCCCATAAAGTCTTGTCTACACATTGTTAGGTTAACCGTGTGGTAGATCGATTTCAAATTTTCAGGGATGATTCTTAGTATGAAAATCTAGATCTGATTATTAGTTTTTTGGCATTCTGGGTAAATGTCAAGGCAGCCATTTTGGATTTTCTGTCCTAAAATCTTGTCTGTAAAGTCTTGTCTACGCAATTTCCAGGTGAACCGTTTGGTGGATCAATTTCGAATTTTCAGGGATGATTCTTAGTATGTAAATCTAGATCTATTTAGTTTTTTGGCATTCGGGACAAATGTCAAGGCAGCCAATTTGGATTTTCTGTCTTAAAATCTTGCCTGTAAAGTCTTGTCTACGCGTTTTTAGGTGAACCGTTTGGTAGATCAATTTCAAATTTTCAGGGAAGATTCTTAGTATGAAAATCTAGATCCGATTAGGTTTTGGGCATTCTGGGTAAATGTCAAGGCAGCCATTTTGGATTTTCTGTCCTAAAATCTTGTCTGTTAAGTTTTGTCTACGCATTCCAGGTGAACCGTTTGGTTGATCGATTTCAAATTTTCAGGGATGATTCTTAGTATGAAAATCTGGAAGAGATCAGTTTTTTGGCATTCTGGATAAATGTCAAGGCAGCCATTTTGGATTTTCCGTCCTAAAATTTTGTTTGTAAAGTCTTGTTTACATGTTTTCTGGTTGACTGTATGAGGGATCAATTTCAAATTTTCAGGGGTGGTTCTTAGTATGAAAATCTAGAACTGACTAATTTTTTGGCTTTCTGGGTAAATTTTAAGGTGGCCATTTTGGATATTCCGTCCTCAAATTGTGTCGGTAAAGTCTTGTCTACTCATTTTTAGGATAACCATTTGACGGGATCACCCATAGGTGGGGACATTTTGTACACATTTGTGTTCTTGTTTATTCATTTACTATCAAAACATTAAATATGAAATTATGAAATTTTGTATTGCATTGAAAATTGAAATGATGCCAATTACACTACCCGCAAAAGGATTAGAAAACCTGGAAACTATCCAAAAGATAAATGGACACACAATTACATGATAAATATATGGCATTCAGATTCATTAAAAACATTATTCCAAATGGAATAAACTTCAATGATGCACGAATGCTTATAGGGGGCGGGGGAGAGGGTGGACGTCATTGGAATATTTCAAATGCTTTGGGAATGATTGCCAAAAAACTGCGAAATAACTATGTGTGGGCATGGATCACTGTAACGGTGAATTTGAATAAAAACAAGCAGCACATGATTATTGGTACCAATTTGAATGTTAACTAGACTAGTGCTGCATCATTTAGTCTTATATGACATGTTTTATGTCAGACGTTTTTGGATTACATTTGCTCCAGTGATCTTGCATTCAATCATGAAACGCTCATCACCACACACCGCAAAACAAACTGTAATGCTCTTTGTTACAAGAGAAAAAATGTTTTATAAATATGTTCTGCCTTACGGCAAAGTAAAGATACATTTCTGGCACTTTTTATTCATCTTGGAATCTTAGAAAAACATTTAATTCTCAAAATACAGGTGAATAACATACTAGGAAACGTACAATGACACGCAGTATAAATAACAGTTAACTGGTGGTTTTGTTGCATATCACTGTCAAAAGAAGTAAAATATTCAAAGGGAAACTTAAACGGGCCCTGTACTTTAATGGATTTACTAAAACGTATTCTGTATTGCGTTTAATCTTCACTTCACTGCACCCACTTTTCTCACTTTGCCTTTACAGGACACTTGCTAACAATATTCTACAAACTACTTGATGAATCTGGTAGAACACTGGGAATATATGTAAAAAGTAGTTTACGTTCAGAAATATGAAAATATGCATATGGAAAATAAACCCGTACGTCCTCCATTTGGAACTTAAATGTACCTTGTATCCCTTTGAAACGTGTTTACGTGGTAGGGCAGTGTGTACTTGGTGTGGTACTGTTTTTGTAATAATTTGCCTAATTAGCCATATATAGCTGTAGTTTTGTGCCTGGGCCAAAAAGACGTCAATACAAATTAAAGATTCTTTCAAAATCATGCAGTTTTTCATCATCTTGGGCACTTTTAGAGAAAAGTTGTCAAAAACGAACCCCCATGGCATTTTCAAAAAGTGACCCCCGACTCGTAGCAAAAGCTGCATGTCTTAAAATTATAGTTAGTGGCATTTTTGTATGGTAGGTATCAGTTGTATGGTAGTGGTATCAGTTGTATTGTAGTGGTATCACTTATATTGTAGTGGTATCACATTTTTTTATTATTGTAGAATCACTATAAACGAAAAACAAGAGAAACAAATATGCCCACATTATCAGCGTTAATATATAGAGCATGGATGTGTATAAATATCAGAAAATAAAATAGTTGGTGACAGTTGATAACCTTAAAGCAAACGCACTGACAAATGAATATATGATTTCGCCATGCCAAACTTTTAGCCTTTTTATACGACATATTCAGAAAAATACAAGAACTAGGGCACACTGCACATACCGTATAGTGTAGGCTGTAAACAACGCCTTGCCCATTGACGACACATATTAATGTTCTCAAAATCACCATTCGTTTTTGTTATTATATCCAGTAGAGGGATTTTACTCATAAAACGGTATTTGAAATCATTAAATATACACGATGCATTTGTATGAAGTTGACATGCAATTTCGATACAGGTCATAAATCATGGGCGA